CTTTTATCTGACACGAAATTACAAGTACTGGCAAAAACGTGAAGTTCCATATGTGGATGGAGCCTTGCCAAGGTTCGATAACATGTTATCAGTGATTTGCATGAAGACGCACATCGCCGATTTCTATTGCAAGATCTATAAGGACAATAAAGGTCATAACATGGTTGGGATCTATGACTTTACATCACCGGCCTTAATGATCATCAAACCAGCACTAGTGAAAATGATACTGCAAACCTATTTTTCAAGTTTTGTCGAAAACTGTTGTTCATATTGATAAAGAATCAGATAGCCTCCTGTCATATAATCCCTTCGGCCTTTCCAGTGAGAAGTGGTTGAACAGCAGAAAGCGACATGACATTGACATAGGCATTTTCCAGCATGCGACTGAAGATCCTGCTTGAAAGCATTAAAAAGGTGTGTGCGACAATGGAGAATTACATGACAGAAAGTTAAGCAACAAAGAGACAGAATTCGAACTGAAGAGCTTATTTTCTAAATATTCCGCGCAGGTAGTAGCTGTTGCTAGCTTCGACATCGATGGATACTGCTTTGATGATGACAAAAAAGATGTATCTTTCAGAAAACTCGGACAAGCCATCTTCAAACCAAACGAAGTACAATTATGTTCATTTTCATATTTCTCATTCCGTCGTTAAATAAAATCTTCTAAAATTAGACCTAATCCCGAAGCACGTTGACAATTTTTTCAGAACATTAGTTGCAGAACTCATGGAGCAAAAGAGAAAGGACGGAATACTTAGAAATGATTTTCTCCATTTGATGGCTGAACTGGAGCGAACAGAGGGGGATAAATTTGATAATGAAATGCTCACGGGTCAGGCAATGTCATTCGTTCTCAACGGTTACGAAACATCCAGTAGTGTTATGAGCTTCGTTGGATTTTATTTGACCCATTATTCAAAAATACAAGAGAAATTACATGAGGAAATGGTCAACAAATATGATCCGTGCTCAACAAATACGATAGTGAAATCACGTATGAAGGCTTGAGAGAGATAACATATATGGACCAGATCATTAACGAAACGATGAGATTAGTATCCGCAGTATTATTGATGAAGAGACGATGCACACAAGAGTTCGAACTGAAAGGATCCAATGGAGTTGTCTGTCGCGTGACACCTGGAATGAAGATTTTGATATCAGTTCAAGCTGTCCACAAAGATCCACAATACTGGGAAAATCCGGAAGAGTATGATCCTGAAAGATTCGACTCGGATAGAAAACACAACATTGATAGATTCTTTCTTCCATTCAGCGAATCTGTGTGGGCATGAGAATGGGCCAGCTGCAGATAAAGGCAGATTTGTGATTGTGAGAAAATATAAGCTGGAACTATCCCCGAAGATGCAAATGCCTTTAAAGTTGATTCCTGGCATCATATTACCAACACCAAAAGGTCTGTGGGCCTATTTTCGGCAGCCTTAAATATCTTCTTTTAATTTTTTTTTTAATTTTTAATGTGTGTTTTTGTTACATCAAAACAGAAGATTGTAATTTATTTTTATATAAAAATGTTCTTTTTAAATTTTGTCAGTTTTAATATTGCATCTTTATATAAAAATTAGAAAGATATTTAATATTTTCTTATGCATTCATATATTTTCATAAATTCTTAATTAGGGGAATAAACAAGAGATTTAATCATATTCATATAGAAATAAAAGATCAGAGTAATTAGAATTATGTATTTTTAAAATATTTTTTATATAAATATTGTAATTTGCTCTTAATTTAATAAAAAATTTTATCTTTAATTATTGTATATTTTGAAAAAAATAATAAATTTAATTCTTAAAGTTTTGCAATTAAAAAAAAATGTATTTTTGTACAAACAATAATAAATTCTCTTGCTAACTCTGACTATTGTTTTAATACGAAACAGTCAGAAATATATTTAAATGGATATTTTAAATAAATCAAATTTGTTCTACTGTCAATTATTTAAAAATT